CAACACTCCCCCCGGGTCCGTGGTTCAGGAGTCCACCTGAGTGGAAGCCAGATCTCCCCTTCCCCACTTCCCCACACTCCCAACCTTGCACAACCCCCACCGGTCCCGTGTTCCAGGAGTCCTCACCTGTGCGAAGGCCAGGTCAGCCCCCTTTCCCCACTTCCCGCACTACCCCAACCTTGCACAACCCCCCCCCCCGGGTCCCGTGTTTCCAGGAGTCCACCTTGTGCGAAGGCCAAGTGCTCCCCCCTACCCCCACTTCCCCCCCACACCCCAACCTTGCACACTCCCCCCGGGTCCGTGGGTTCCAGGAGTCCACACTGTTTGACGCCAGGTGCTCCCCCTTCCCACTTCCCCCCACGAGGCCCCCACCTTGCGACGAATGCCCCTCCCCCTGGGTTCCGTGGTTCCAGGAGTCCACCAGTGCGAAGGCCAGTGCCCCCCTTCCCTTCCCCACGTTCCTCCCCCAACACCCCAAACCTTGCACAAACACCCCCCCGCCCCCGTGTCCGGTGGATTCCAGGAGTTCACTGTGCGAAAAGTGCCAGTGCTCCCCCCTCCCACTTCCCCCCACCCCCAACTTGCACAACCCCCCCCCGGGTCCGTTTGGGGGTTCCAGGAGTCCACCTGTGCGAAGCCATGAGCTCCCCCCTTCCCCCACTTCCCCCCACACCCGCAAACCTTTCAACAACAACCCCACCCCGGGTCCGTGTTCCGAGGAGTCCACCTATGAGCGAAAGGCCAGGTGCTCCCACCTTCCCCACTTCTCCCCACACCCCAACCTAGCTCAACCCCCCCCCCCCCGGGTCCGTGTATTTTCCAGGAGTCCACACTGTGCGAAGGCACGTGCTCCCCCTTCCCCACTTCCCCCACACCCCAACCTTGCACCCCCCCCGGGGTGCTCTCCTTTCCCAGTCCATGTTCCATGAATCCATCCGAGGCCCCCGAATGGCGCCCTCTTACCTCACTTCCCTTATGTATCTTCTCAGCCTCACCTTCCCAGGTTAATGTATCCCTCCGTGATACTAGCCAGATGAAACGAGGCCTTGTTTAGCTGGTCTACAGTAGAGACTGTCCAGGTGGTGGAATTACAGGAGTGGTCACACTGAGAAACTGCGTCCTGTCAATACACCCACCAAGACAGTCTAGATCGTGGTCAGCCATACGCAGCCAAGCTACCGTCCAGTTCGACCACCAAGGCCTTGGTCCGAATCAGTGAAAATTTGGGAGTTCTATTTAAATTACACAATTCATAACATTATATATAAGTTTTCTTTTTGTTGCTTAATAAGCAGCTAAGTGCATTTGTAATGTTTTGTTTTAAGTTAACTGTAAAAAAAGGTTTTTTTTTAAAATTAAACTTGTCGTGTTTTATTTTGTTATTTGTCTTATATTTGTAAAACGCTCATTTACAACGCGCTCACAATGTTAAAAAGTCACTTTATCTAAAATTTTTGGGTTATCCGGGGTAATTTACATATTCGTTAATATGTATATAGATTGTGAAAATTTTTTAATGATTGTACTAGTAAACTTACTTAACTTCTCATACCTGTTTTTACATCACTCACGCTTTTCCCGTAAACAAAGTTGTTGGTTCACCATCCTCAAAAAACTGTGCAAAGCACACACACACACACACCACACCACACACGTACTCATTACAACGGGCCAGTGTCTAATCGACATGTGCCAGGAAAAATGGTAATAACACCACACACACAACCAAAACCACACACGTTGTACACAAATTGTACCCCCCATGTATGCACTAAAAATCACGGTTTTTAAAAAATTATGTTTGTCTTTAAAAAAAAATTTCAAAAAAAGTTTCAACAAGAAAGTCCCGAGCAAAGAGGTATGCCTACGAGGAGATTTTAAAGGAAATAACCTGCGCCCACTGGGGACGGGAGAGATAAAAGGGGACTGAAAAAAAACATACAAATTTTCTGAAGGAATTTGAAATTGGAAAAAAGACGGATGTTCCAGAGATTGGAACAGTAAAAGGGGGACCTTTGGGAAAGCTGAAACACAGATGAACACGGGATGTTAGGAAGTATTTCTTCAGCCCCAGAGTAGTCATAAGTGGAATAGTTTTGGGAAAAGGATGTTGGGAGGCAGGTCCCTAATGTTTTTAAACAGAGGTACGATAAAGTCAGGTTCAGGGGAGTGACCTAGTAGCGACCCTGAAGAGGGGGGGGCCAGGAGCTTTGGGAACGACCCCCCGAACCTCAACTAGGGGAGTAACATGAAAACAAACAACACACACACACACCACACACCACACAACACACACACACAAAACACCCCCAACACACACACAACCCCACACCCAAACCACACACACACACACCACAAAGCCAACACTGCACACACACACAACACAAACACCACACACACCACCACCACACACCACACCAAACACACACACCCACACCACCAACACACATAGACACACACACAGAAAACCCCACACAACACACACACAAACACACCACAGACACACACACCCGGGGCCGGACCGGACTCGACCCCCAACCCCAAAAGGGAGTACTAGGTGAGTACACACAACACCGCGGCGCGCAAAACACACAAAACACACACAAAACACACACCACACAAACACCACACACAACACCACACACACACACACATGTACACACACACACACACACCACACACTCACACCCCCACAACACACACACACCCCAACACACACCACACACCCCACACACACACAACACCACCACACACACCCCACACACCACACCACCCCACACATCCAGCCACCACAACAAGAGAATAAAATTCTTTATTACGCAATTTAATTTTCTCAAGAAAATAG